CTTTCTTCCCCTCCCACAAGGTCCATGGCAGACTGGGTGCAAAAAAATAGGAGAGTGCAGGGATGACACTGTGATTTGTTTCTTCCGGCCTGTTTGTGACTACCATGTTTCCCTGAAAATAAGGCCTATCCCGAAAATAAGGCCTAGCTTGATTTTTACGTGTGTACCTAACACAGGGGTAGGCAACCTTGGCTCTTTTATGACTCGTGGACTTCAACTCCCAGAATTCCTGAGCCAGCCTGGCTCAGCTTGGAAACCTCTCCCTTTCCCCTCAGAATGGCTGGCTCAGGAATTCTGGGAGTTGAAGTCCATGACTCATAAAAGAGCCAAGGTTGCCTACCCCTGATCTAACACCTACCCCCAAAATAAGCCCTAGTTAAGATCCCGCCCACTATGTCCCACCTCTGGTTTACGAGGTGGGGCAAGGCGCACGTGTAAAATCAAGCTAGGGCAGGAGTGGGGGAGTAGAGCTGCCCCATGTGCCCTATGCTTGCTTACCTCAGGCACTTGCATCCAGGCTTCCCACTCCCCGACACCTGCCTCGCTTCACGGTGGCGGCACCACCAGCAGCAGCAGCAGCCCCATCCAGCAGGAGCCTGTGTGGACACTGGCCCACTTCTTCCGGTTGCTGGCGGCCGCTCATGGCAGGATGCCATATAAAAGTCGCGTTAGTGCCACTGTTCTTGGCAGGACACCACATGGCATTTCATGCTGGTGCCGCAGCGCACGCATGCCATGGCGCAATGTGCCATTTGGCATCCTGACGTGAGCAGCAGCAATAGTGTGACACCAAGGGGCTTCCTGCCACAATGGCACGACAGGTGTCGGGGTGTGGGAGGCCTTGCTGTGGCGGTCCTGAAGTAAGCGGGTAAGACATCCCCCCCAAAATAAGACCTAGTGTCTTTTTGGGAGGCAAAAAAATATAAGACCAGATCTTATTTTCGGGGAAACCCAGTATCTGGAAGCATCTAAATCAGGGGTCGTCAACCTTGGCAACTTTAAGACTTGCGGACTTCAACTCCCAAAATTCCTCTGGCTGAGGAATTCTGGGAGTTGAAGTCCGCAAGTCTTAAAGTTGCCAAGGTGGACGACCCCTGATCTAAATGATCTCTGTCAGCAACAAAAGACTCAGCTAGATACATAAATCTTCTTGATGGGGAAGTAACAGAATCCTAGAACCTATGGGTGCCAATCGCTTAACAACTGCCTAGCTTAGCCACAGAAATTGTGGCCCCCACTTGAGGTCGTAAGCCGAGGCCTACCTGCAATGCTGATCTAAATAATTTACAATAGGCATAAAGGCTGATGGCATTTTCTGCCTTGTCAGTTCGCTAGTTCTGAACATTCACATCTGAAATAGAAAGGAAGTTTCTTCAGTGATTCTGTAGACCTTTTGGGGTGGGGGGTTCTGAACAGTTTCCAAGCTTCAGAAATGGGATTCTGATTACTTTTGCTTTTCATTTTAGGGACACACTGGTGAGAAAGGAGAACTTGGAGAAGCCGGCAAAGATGGGGAGAAGGTAATGATCTTCACTGCATCATAGGGTTTGTTTCCATTGGAAAGGTCTGTGAATGGTGCTACCTACATCTGGCCTCACCAAAAAATGTGGCGCCTGAACATGGGATAACTGCTTCTGTCCCTAAAAACAGTTCAAAGCAAAAATTGAGATGTCTTATAAAGTTGCAAGAGATTTAGACGTTGTGTCATAGTTCCGACAGATGAAACTCTTCAAAGAACTTTGAGGCATTGTTTACCTTAAAGAATCTTTATTCAAGTTGCATGGCATCGGCAGGTACATGGTGGAAGCTGAAATCTGAATTCTCCTCCCCTAAACACATAGTATCCTCTAATTAACAGTCATAAATCACATTCTCCAATTAGTTTGAAATGCAGGCTTTCCCTCCTGTTTTCCAATCCGCCAATCCTTATCATCTCTTATTTCAAGCTCTGAATTCACACACTAGTACAATAGTACCAACCCCCTGCTCAAGCAGGAGACCCTATACCAGGGGTAGGCAATCTTGGCTCTTTTATGACTCGTGGACTTCAACTCCCAGAATTCCTGAGCCAGCATGGCTCAGCTTGGAAACCTCTCCCTTTCCCCTCAGCATGGCTGGCTCAGGAATTCTGTGAGTTGAAGTCCACGAGTCATGAAAGAGCCAAGGTTGCCTACCCCTGCCCTATACCATTTCAGACAAATGGTTGTCCAGTCTCTTCTTGCAAGCCTCCAGTGATGGAGTACCCACAACTTCTGGAGAAAATTTCTTTTGACTGACTCTCATCTTAACTCTTTTTCTTATTTTTTTTTTCAGGGTTCAAGAGGACCGCCAGGCCCAGCAGGACCTTCTGGAAATATTGGCCTGCAGGTAGAACAAGATGAATATTACTTATAAAGTAATTAAGGTGGGATAAAAATGTAATAAATTAATAAACCAGCCATGCTTTGCCTCATTTCCAGGGCCCCCGAGGATTAAACGGAGGAGTTGGGCCAATCGGTCTTATTGGCGACAGGGTGAGTTGGAGACCCTCCTTAATTTTCTTAGCCAAAGCTGCTTGTAAGAGACATCTGGTTAACGGGACAGAAAAAGGGAAGTTTTCAAGTTCGGACCTCAACTTGGCTACTAACCTATCTAATGATCTGGGGCATCCCTGTGTCTAGTGCCCTTCCATCGGCATTATGGGGATAGTAAGAGGAGGAGGAGGAGGAGGAGGAGAAGGAAGCAGGAGAAGGAGGAGGAGGAGGAGGAGGAGGAGGAGGAGGAGAAGGAGAAGGAGAAGGAGAAGGAGAAGGAGAAGGAGAAGGAGAAGGAGAAGGAGAAGAAGAAGAAGAAGAGAAGAAGAAGAAGAAGAAGAAGAAGAAGAAGAAGAAGAAGAAGAAGAAGAAGAAGAAGAAGAAGAAGAAGAAGAAGAAGAAGAAGAAGAAGAAGAAGAAGAAGAAGAAGAAGAAGAAGAAGAAGAAGAAGAAGAA